GTTACCGTTACCCGCAACCTGCAAGGATTCCCCAAGAGTGACTGCATACGGCGCACCAGCGATTCGCCGGTTTTCACCGACCCTGTCAACCGCCTGGGCTATCATAGAAGCTGCAGGGCGTGGTGCGGCTCTCTCACGACACCTGACACCCAACCCGTCAACCCACCAACCCCGAGCCCGATAACCAAGCCAACACCATGTCGGAACTCAAGGGCGCTCAAGCTACAGTAGTGACGATAATCACGCGCTTCATCTGACTAGCAAAGGTCCTTCCACTCTACCCTTGCCCAAATAATTCGACTGCGGTTTAGCCAGGAAAAACTCCGGTGGAGAGGTGGGAAGAATTACAAGAGTAAAGGCGGAGGGACATCATTTATTATCAACAGTTAATATAATAACTTACTATTTATTATAAGAGTAATTGCAAACGGATAAGTATCCAACTTGACTACATTCTACTTTAATCAATAGTGTACCAGTATAGTGTTGCAGTTTCTATTCCGTGGCAATAAAGCATTCTTTCTATAAGTAATCAGTGAATATTATATTACAGATAAATCGCTTTTCTACTGGTTCCCTCCACCGCTATTGTCTTTTGCCCAGCCTTCGGGCATAGTGTGTGCTGAGGCCGAGCTGGTGCCTCCTTGCATTAGATAAGTCTGAAACGATATAAATACATAAATCAAACAAATCAATAAATCAATAACCTGGGTAGCTCCTTAGAACTGAACCCTTTTTTTGTCCTCCGCAACCAATGAGCTCGTTGGGTATCGTATTAAATATCAAGATTTTGTACATGCCTCTTCGGTGGTGTAGTTATGTGCGGGTCTCATTGCTATCATTTAGCCTCACGAGGGGGGCGTGGGCGCAGATTATATCGAGGGGGCGCTGCTGCCTCTTTTGCCGCGCGTTGTCTTGTGTTATGTGGCGATGACCGAACAGGGGCCGCTCGTTTCTTGGTGATCCTGTTGCAGGGCTTCTGGTGCCCTGTATTGCCTTTCCTAGCATTGCCAGGGGCAGAGGCGGAGGTGGAGGCGAGTGGCGATCTGGAATCGCTCTTGGTACGTTGTCGCGTTTCGGGCGTAACCAATCTCGGTAGATCGGACTGTGGAGGAGGTGTAGGTGATACGGAGGGTAGCAAGGGTCCTCCGTCGTACTGCTGGCTCTCGCTCCAGCGACTGGGGGAGGATGAACCTTGTTCTCCTGGAGACGATGTTGCAGCATGTGGTTTCGCGCCATCTGAGGGCATCTGAACCGAGTTGGGAAATAGCTCATTCCTTAAGTCCGTCACTACCTTCTTCTCGTCCGAGGTGAGAAACTCAAAGAGAAATGCCAGCAGGGAGTCCAATGATTTTGTCTTGAAGAGTTGACAACCGGCGCGCCAATGTGCTTCAGGTAACGAGCTTCGACCGTGGGATAAGTGTACACATATCAGATCCCAGGCCTTGGCCATTTCTTCAGCGCGAGTTTTCATTCGCGATTCGACATTACTCATCAACTCCTCTTTCGTAGTAGCAGTTTGCGACATCTCCCAAACATCGTGGTGAAAGGCTTCCCAATCTTGGAGTGGGCAAGGCCATGTGTTGTATTTATCGTGGAGCGTTGTGAATAGTTCATCGAGGGCCATCCCAAATTTGAACGCTGGCCAACGATAGCTCCTGTCAAACAACCAATCTGGGCGTGGAATTTCTACGTTCATGATTTCGCAAGAGAGAGTATTATCCAGTATCGTTAATATCGAGGTAGAATACTAATTGGCATAGGTAATATAGAGACACAATTGATAGGTTGTAGGCGTTATAGACGGCGGCGAGTACTTGATGGTTGTTAGGTCTTTGGTCGAGCTATCCTTGCGAGGTGTTACCTGGGTTAGTAGGACTGAACGGCACAAAGTAATTCCTTCCGCGTTGCGGTCAACGGAGGTGATAGGTCAGCAGGCCAGTCTATCCTAGCTTTGGGTAACAGACCAATCTATCCATGTGTAACAGACCAGTCCACCCCCCTGTTCTGCCCTGGGTAACAGACCAGTCTATCCCTCCGTTCTGCCCTAGCTCCTGGGTAACAGACCAGTCTATCCCTAGGTACGCCTTTGCTCAAACGATTGGGGAGGGGTCATCCGCCGGTTGATAAGTTGTAAACCACGAACTATAGATGAGCCTATAAACGTCCATTCTCAAGCGCCGGTCTGGTGCACCGTAACATGGAATCAGACGATTCTGACGCAAGGCATGCCCTACCTAGGGATGCGTATTTTAATACTGGTATATAAATGTCGTGGTCAGACGGGTGGTTAGTGTTGTCGACGTAGTCATAAACCGCATTTTTGTCAAGCAGCTATCAAATGGCGATGTCTGACACTGCGGAACGGGGCTTGCGAGAGGGGCGGGAGTCGACCTCGCCTGTCCCGGAGGGTTTTGTTAGAACGCACTTTCTTGAACTCCTAGGCTCACAAGAAGATATACCATCAGGACCTCCTTTTCCAAGGATATACGTTGAAAAAAGCTCCATCGAACGGAACTACAATGAGTCCCTCGGCTCGGAAGACAAGAACCGTCCTATACCGCCCGGTGCTCCTTCCATGGTGGACTATGCCCCTCGAGTTCTGTCATCGACTGAACCAACCCCAAAGGGCTTTGTTGAACGACGCATGATTGTCCCCATCAGCCAAAGATCGGTTGAACTAATATCATACTGGGGGCCCCCTTACCGAAAGAGATATGTTGAACGCCACGAGCTTCGGCGAAACCGGGATGAGATCCCCTACCCACCAGCAGCACCACCACCACCACCATCACCGGTATATTTACCATCGACCGCTGATCCATCGGAAAATCCAGAGGGCTATGTTAACGATCACTTACCCAAGTCTTCCACTTCGCAACAGGCCGAGGCGCCCGGGGCACATCAGGGTGATACCCCTATCACTGATATCCCTATCATTGATCTGGAGACACACCATCTCAAATGTAGGATTCTGATTCAGCCACGGGACCCAGCCAACTTCAAATCCGACCCAGCCCGCCGTGAAGGCCGCCGCGAACACCTTCATCATCAGGCAGCCTCCGATCTTAACGCAGTCGTCGAATGCATTGCTATTAACCAAGGCATCGAAGAAGCCGATTACGTTATTCAGGCGCCACTTCGCTGTCGATTCTACTACGACTCGCAAAGTGATTATATTGGTATAGTGAACGAGGAGCTCACGCAATCTATCAAGATAGCAAAAATTATCGATACGAGTGCCGATCAAGAACGGTCCGCAGACATCGCAATTGAACCCTTCACTTATGCTCGAGTTGGACTTGGGGCCTGGACCGTTAGCTCATCCGAGGCTGCTGACGCCCCTGCCTTCCAACTCCGAGTATATCCGAGAACCTATTCTCTTTCAGTTCTTCAGGCGATTGCCCCGCCCAGCGTTGCTGGATCTAAGAGGAGGCACAACAATAGCGACAAACGTGCTATCATGTTGGCGACAAAATACCAACCTGTAATGAGAGCGATTACCAGCCCTTGTGATGTGAAAGGGGGCGACATTCTTCGGATTGCTCAGGATGGTGTGGAACAATATGAAATCCATCATTTACGGAAACTTGGGCTCACTAGCAATGCTGATGTATACGAATCCAAAGTCAGCAAATATCCCAATCTTCGCGTTGTTGTCAAATACATCACGGGGATGGATCTAGCAGCTCGCAATAGGATGTGGTCGCATGAACTCCGGTTGCTCAGCCAATTGCAATGCGTAAGTCAATTCGATCCGCTTACACGCTTACACTGCCTATAGAGTTGCTAATTCAATTAGCACGCAATTGTACCATGTTTCGGAGGGGACGCTCGGTTGCTCGCCCTGTACATGAAAGCAATCAATGCTTATGATCTTCATCATAAATTCTGGCGCGTGCGAAACTCCAATTTATTCAAAGGGGATGAGGGAGACGTTATTTTGGTTCTGGGCGACATGGCGTACGCGTTAGAACACACTCGAGAGCGTGACATCGTCCACCACGACATTAAGCCGGCCAACATCTTATACGAAAAGAATGTTGGAGCAGTTCTTATTGACTTCGGACTTGCAACCCAGGGGGACGAGCCGCCTCATCAGGGCGGTACTCCTTGGTATGTAGGACCAGAGCTCTTAAATGTCAAGAACGAACGTGGGCCAGCAGCAGACGTTTGGGCGTTGGGTATAGTAATGCTTTACATGTTGCGCTTTATTCCTCTACCAGAGACGGGCGCTCAAGTACCGGTTTGGCTAATCCATCGTGCGAGAGACCCGTCCTCCCGGGCGCATGCACAAATGAAACGGTGGCACGCGATAATTGACGCGATTTTAGAAGAAGAGCTAGACGAGAACAATGATCTCCATAAGATTGTCAAACGGATGCTGAAGCCTGTAGTAGAGCAACGTATTACACCTGGCGAAATCAGGGAGGCTCTGGAGGCAATGAAACAACGGAAGCGGGAAGCTTTGGAGGCAGCAGAACAACAGAAGCAGGAAGCCTCAAAGGCGGCGGAACAACAGGAGCGGGAAGCCTCAGAGGCGGCGGAGCAACAGGAGCGGGAAGCCCGAAAGCCAGCAAAACGACAGAAGCGAAAAGCCAGGAAGCCAGCAAAGAAATAGAAGCAGGAAGCCAGCAAAGAAACAGAAGCAGGAAGCCAGCAAAGAAAAAAAAGCAGGAAGCCTTAAAGGTAGCAAAATAATAGAGTCTCTCAAAATATAGTATACGAATTAAAAAAAGTCACTCTACTCCTCCAGCTATACAACTGACAAAATGCACCGATTCTATTCCATGCGATATTGAAAGACTTGATACGGAGTGCTCCGCTGACTTATTGTCGCGGTACAGGGTCCAACGGGCTCTGCCACTTCCGACCGCCTTTTCCGAGGAAAGCCTCGGAGTTCAGTAGGTATTTCCCTACCGAGCTAAGTTTTTCTCCCTCCACTTATCCGCACAGCCTAATGACTTTTGAATGTCATTAATGGTCTCCCGGACATCACTGGACCCATAGCTCAGCGGTAGAGCATCTGATTCCAGTTGAAAAGCCTTACAATTCTGGAGTCTACTCCAGTAAAGTAGGGTAAAGCTGCCTCCAGAAGGTCATCCGTTCAAATCGGGTTGGGTTCAATTCCTCATAACCAATAAATGGTGGTCCAAATTTTTTTCGTCATTCTGTGATGGAATGAACCGAGGGGTTATCTAATCCTTTTTTTTTAATTTTTATTGTTGTTCCTTTGTGTTATACGGCTGACTTAATATTTCTATATATCACTTGAGATAGGTTGAACGCATATATTGGTCGGTGCGCTATTTGCGTGCAGTCACTGCCGTGTTGATTGAATTGAACAGATGTAGGTAGATTAGGTGGGGGGCGGTGTGCGGAGCCTTAGGCGCCTTATCTAATCTACACCTAGTGGCTGTGCCACCAACATGGAAGCGTATACCTACCTGTAGCCTAGCGTAATCGCAAAGCCACAAGGAGACCCCCGGATTTAAAGGTTGGCACGTATCCACACATGTGCTTAGGTAAGTCCCCTACCCGAAGAGGACACCTGCAATTGAAAGTACATGGTACTTTTTACTTTCGGACATATCTACCTCGACCTAGCAATCGCAAATCGAGAAAGCGCCGATGCCGACGTCTTCGTGTCCAAGGTTGTCTTCTGCTGATGACTTGCCCGAGGCGAACTACGCAGCAGACGCAGCAGACGTAGCAGACGAGAGCCAATCTACCTCCGTCACCGAAGTCGTCCAACGGGGCCAGGTCTAGCCAGGGTCTGGCTGGTCCGGGTCTATTCATCCCTCCCTCTCTGTCTCTCTCGTCATGGCGGCGCCGGGACATTCGTTGCGCGATCGTCAAATTGGTGAGTCTCGACCCTCTCTCCATCCCCTCTTTGTCCTTCTCCGTCGCTATACACGATGTCTCGCTCATGCTTGGCTCCTCTCAGCGTCCCTCAAGAAGATCCTCAACCTCAACGAGACCATCTCCCGCGACGAGAACGACGACCACCACGCCAACGGCCTCGCGCCCGTCGTGCCCATTCTCAATGCCGACGGCGATCCCATCTGGAAGGTCCTTGTCTTCGACGACCTGGGCCGAGATGTCATCAGCAGCGTCCTGCGAGTGAGCGACTTGCGCTCCATGGGCGTCACCATGCACATGTACGCGCCCATCTCTCTCGGGGCATTGGCTGGCGAGGTTGCATAGCTAATTGACGCGTGCTGGACAGGCACATTTCCGCCGTGAGGCATCCTATACCCGACGTCCCCGTCATATACCTCGTCGAGCCGAGTGCGAAGTCGCTGCAGAACATCACCGCCGATCTGCAAAAGGGCCTCTACACCCCTGCCTACATCAACTTCCTCTCCTCCATACCGCGGCCTCTTCTCGAGGACTTCGCCGCGCAAACCGCTACCGCCGGCACCGCCGAACACATAGCCCAGTTGTTCGACCAGTATCTGAACTTCATCGTTGCCGAGCCCGACCTGTTCAGCCTCGGCATGCAAAAGGAACACACGTACTGGGCACTGAACAGCGCCAAGACAAAAGACGACGAGCTGGATCACGTCGTTGACCGCATAGTCAGCGGCCTGTTTAGCGTGATTGTGACCATGGGTGCGTCGATGAAAACACCGCCCTCCCCCCACGGCGGGCGCCATGCTAACAAACGGCAGGTGTCATCCCTGTCATTCGATGTCCAAAGGGCGCGGCGGCCGACATGATTGCCGGGAAATTAGATCGAAAGCTTCGTGACCACATTTTGAATTCGAAAGACAACCTTTTCAACGCAAAACCGACGTCGTCGGCCGGGACTCCTGCCTCCAGGCCGGTGCTCATTATTCTCGATCGTAATGTAGACCTAAACCCCATGTTGTCTCACTCTTGGACGTACCAATCACTAGTCCACGATGTCCTCAATATGAAACTCAACCGAATCACCATCGAAACCCCAGTCGACGAGGAGCATCCAGCCAAAGGGGTCACGAAGAAAGCATACGACCTGACTTCTGCCGACTTCTTCTGGGAGAAGAATGCTGCGCTCCCATTCCCGCAGGTTGCGGAGGACATCGATGCCGAATTAACACGATACAAGGAAGATGCCGCCGAGATCACAAAGAAGACGGGTGCTTCGTCGATAGAAGATCTCCAGAACGACACAAGTGCAAGCGCACAGCATTTGAAGGCCGCCATAACCCTGTTACCTGAGCTACGCGAGAGAAAGGCAGTCTTAGATATGCATATGAACATCTTGGCCGCCCTTCTCTCGGGTATCAAAAACCGACAGTTGGACAACTATTTCCAGATGGAGGAAAATGTCATAAAGCAGACAAAAGCACAGATGCTTGAGATGATCAAGGATGGGTCAAAGGGAGAGAATCCCCTAGATAAGCTGCGATTATTCATAATATGGTTCCTCAGTACGGAGCAAGAAGTCGGTAGAACGGACTGGACTCAATTTGAGGAAGCTCTCACGACGGCCGGCGCTGACAGCACGTGCCTTGCCTACGTTCGACAGTACGTATAAACAAACTGTTAACGCTGGAAATAAACCATCTAGAGAAGCTAATCATTCTAACAGAGTTCGCGCAACAACCAAAATGACACAACTAACAACCACCATCAACAATCCTTCACAACCCGCTTCACAGTCCGGCACCACTGATCTCTTTGGTCGCTTCTCATCCCTCTCCACTCGATTGACAGACCGTCTCAAGGAGACTGGCGTAGGCGTCCCCACCAATCTCGCGTCCAACTTCGACTCGTTAATAGGAGGCATCAAGAATTTCCTCCCCGCCAACCGTGATTTTACAGTCACCAAAATCGTAGAATCAATCATGGACCCACAGACCGCCTCGTCATTCGCCATCGCCAAGACGGAGAACTACTTGTACTTTGACCCGCGGAGTGCAAACGCTCGGGGCACAATGCCGCCTCCGAGCGCCGTCCGCGCGGGCACTAGCAGCACCCCGGGCTCATTGCCCGGCGTCGCGACACTAGGCGTGCAGGGCCCCGGCACCGGCGCCAGCTTCGGGCAGCGGAGACAGGGCTACACGGACGCCATCGTGTTCACCGTCGGTGGAGGCAGCATGGACGAGTACGGCAACCTCCAGGAATGGGTCAAGCGAACGAGCGAGGGGAGGGCGAAGAAGAGGGTCGTCTACGGCAGCACGGAGCTGCTCAATGCCGAGGAATTCATCAAGGAAGAGCTGGAGAGATTGGGGAGCGAGGTCCCGTGAGCACGGGACCGCGGCCTTAATAATAGTCACACATACTTTACCTGAGTCTTAAGTCTTAGTCTTAGTCATTAAGCGGCTTCTTAAAATACGAGGAAACGATAGACAGACATATACCTTTTTGAGGATGACGAGAACGCTGTTTACTTGATGTCAACCGGATGTGTGAGTAGGTACGTATGTGAGTGAGGATCTGGAATTGGACTATCGGGGAATTAATTAACCCACCGCTGTTAAGATCAAGAATACCTACACCACCTAGTCAGGTAGAATGAAATGGCGTAGATAAATCCCATAACGAATCTCGTACGTGTGGAATAGAAACCAGAAATCACTGTCATCGGTATACAGTATCGATCTATATGCTCACAGGTATATCATGACGGTACTTCGTATGTAAGCACCTAATATAACGCAGTCTTTGTTGATAGTATATACATTGGAATATTTCTCGCTCGCTCGCTCGCGCTTCTACTCAATCTGACAGACATATGAAGAACACACCACCGGCATCGAAAAGCCGGTCGGCAGCATGTACGTACATGGAAAATTATACACAGTAGGTGGTAGCCTTATATCGACCTAGGTAGTAAGGCTCAAGATTGATCATTAGACAGACGCTTCATTTCGGTTCATCTCATCTCATCTATGCATACATGTATCTATACGTACATACATCTATACACGCACACAGACACGTAAAGCCCCTCCCCTCCGTGCCCTGCATCCGTCCCCCCCGTAGCCAAACGAGCCCAGTCTCCATAATCCTGACATAGACATACACACACGTCCTTCATTTCATCTCGTCTCGTCTCGTCTCGTCTCATCTCATCTCATCGCGAGGGCACGCACCCCCCTTTCCTGTACTCGCTCCTATGCCCCTATGCTCTCCTCCTCTCATGATCTTCCGCTCTGATATGATATCAACGAGCAATGCTCTGCTCCGCTCTGCAGTACTCAACTCGCGTGAAAAGGGGTATTATTATGTCTGGAAACATTCAGACATGCAGGCGATTCTCTCTAGACGCCTTCGATGTATGACAGAAACAAAGAGGAAACGCTCAAAGGCGAAGATTCCTTCCCGTTCATATTGTGGGAAATTTGTACAACCGCCCAAGAAAATCAAGGTGCGAGGACAAGCATGAAAAGACAAGGAAAGAAAAAGTGTGTTCATGACACGGTCTGATGAAATCCCATGACTCTCTCTCCCGCCTTCTATACGCCCCTAAATAAGCGGACGATGAGAAACCACAAGGCCCCGATGAACTTAAACGCGCTCAGACCTGCGACACTCCAGAGGATAATGGTGGTGTACAACGTCGAGCGCGCCTCCTCGTCCTGCGCGGTCTGGCCAGGGCTAAGGTCCTCGAGACCAGCCGTGCTGAGGACCAGTGCCACAAGACCAAAATTCGTGAAGATCCATATCAAGACGACCAGTGATCGAATCCACCGGTAGTAATCCATCTGGTCTTCCGCCTTCTGGGCATCGCTCTTGACCGTCTTGACTGCCTTTGGCTCTTTCGCACCGAATACCCGGAGTTCCTTCTCGTACTGCGCGTTGAGATCGCCCTCGTCAGGCAAGTCGGTCTTACCTTTGCCGTCTTTCGTGTCAACTTTGGGGAGTTCCTCAGCCTTGTCGTCGCCCTTGGTACCCCACGAAATATCGTGCGTGTTGCAGAAAGCATACACATTCAGCACGTTGACGTAAGTAGGCGTCAAGGCTAAATATTGCAGGAATGACGTGAGCATATGCCAGGGATCGAACATGATAAGCGAAGCAATGAGCCACAGGCCGTAAGTAGACAGCAGAGACACCACCAGGGAAAAGAAGACCTTGTTCTGGAAGATGGCACTGATATTGAATCCATCTTTGATTTGCTCCTGAACGGCTA